ACAAGATTGGATTGATGTGTCCTTTGAAAACTTGATAGAATCTTCCAATAAGATCTTCTGATGCTAATATTTATTTTGCTAACAAGATTTTAAACTCTAGTACTGATTCAGTTTCTTTAATGGTTATAGAACCATTCAGACTTTCTATTTCTTCATGTATTAGTTTTAGACAAGTTGTTTTTGGTTCTAGCTTTCAAATTCCTCTTGTTTTGATATATGAGGCTGAATCTTTTTTATTGCCGGCTCAATTATGAATTTCATTAAGAAGTAAATTGTAAATACTTGTGTTAGGAGGACTTCAAATTAGTTTACATTTCCAGCTTGCCAGAATCAGAACCAGATATGAATGTCTTCAACTTTACTAGACATAGTCCCATAGCTCTTCAAAGTGGCTGCACCGGTTTACACTGCCAGTAACACTGTTTGAGAAATTCTGTTGTTCAATAGGACTCTCATTAAGACTTTAATTGTCCAATTTTTCTATTTTTGCTAATCTCATGCCTATGAAATTATACATGGAATTTTAAATGGAATTTCTCTGCTTATTGGTGAGGCTGTGCATCTTTCCATTGGGCACTTGAGTTTTATTTTCTGTAAATTGTCTATTCATATCTTTTAATCATTTTTTAGTGGATGCTTTTCTTTTAATTGTAGGAATTTTAACATATTCTGGATAGTAATACTTTGTAAATTATATGTATTCAAATATATTTCCCCAATTTTATACCTTGTATACTCAAATTTTAAGGTACATTTTCAGGACAGAGGTTTTTATGTGTATAATTTGCCAGTTTTTTTCTTTGTAGTTTGTATTTTTGGTATCTTGTTTAAGAAATTCTTTGCATCCCAAGGTATAAAGATATTCTAAACATGTTAAAGTTTTCTTTTCCCAATTATATGTTTACTCAATGTACAATTGATTTTGACATATGGTATAAGGAAGAGATCTAACTTTTTTCCACAAGGATAACTAATTGTGGCAGCAGCATTTTTGGACACAGGTTTGTTTCTCTGATATGTGTGGGTCTGCTTCTGGGATTTTTTTTTTTATGTCTCTTTGTTACATTTGTCTTTCCCAGCATCACTACTGTAATGGTTTAGTTCTCATCCCTTTGTTATAACTCTTGATGACTGTGAAGTTAAGTCTCCCTCCCTCATTCTTCTTCAGGAAAGTCTTGGCTCTTCTTAGCCCTTTATCTTCTATATGAATTTTGGGATAAGCCTGCATGCTCTTTGAAAAATCCTATAGGAATTTTGGTTGGAATTTCAAAGTATTTATGTATTAGTTTGGGAAGGAAATGACAATTTTCATTATTTTGTATCTTCCCATCCATAAGTGTGGAGTATCTGTTTTTGTTTACATCTTATTTTATGTCCTTTAATAAAAGGTAATATTTTTTCCATAAAAAGCTTGCTTCTCTATTATTAAGTTTATTCCTAATTTTTCTTCTGGTATCTAAAAGGATCTCTTTCCAGAATTAAATTTTCTGATTGTTTGATTCAATTGGCAATTGCATAATGATCTGTGTCTTATAGTTTGAACAGTTCCAATTTTAGATATTGTCTGTATTACCTGTAAATCTTTTAGTATTGTTTATTATCAGTAAATAAGTTTATTTTTTTTTTCAATCTTCATTTCCCTTTCTCCCTCTTTTTGCTATTGTATTGACTAGGATTTCCAGAACAAAATTAGATAGAAACAGTATCAGAAGCCTTCCTTTTCTTATTCTTGTTCTCAAAGGAAGTACTTCTAATGTCTCACCGCTAGTGGTGAGGTTTGCTTTATGTTGTAGGCAGATATACATAAAACTAATTTTGAAGTTCTAGTTGAAGAAGGAAAAAAACATATGTATATACAAAAAATTCAGTCTGAGCTGCAAATGTAGATATTTAACTTTGGATTAGGGAGAAGTCAGTATAAAATTCACAGGAAGACTAGATATTTGGAAACAGTGCAAATCTATGTAGGAAAAAACAACTCACAAAGAACTCTCACCAAATAATATTAAAAAAAAAGCATTGATTCAAGCTGATTAATTTCTGAGAACTAGAGGAAACTTCTAGAGGGGCTTCTAGAGGAGACTTGGAGCTAAAGGGGCTTCCCTGGTGGCTCAGCTGGTAAAGAATCCGCCTGAAATGAGGGAGACCTGGGTTCAATCCCTGTGTTGGGAAGATCTCCTGGAGAAGGGAAGGGCTATCCACTCCAGTATTCTGCCCTGGAGATTCCATAGACTATACAGTCCCTGGGATTGCAAAGAGTCGGACACAGTTGAGCAACTTGCAGTTTCAGAGGAAACTCTAACTTTTTGATCACAAAAAGGAATCATGGAGAAAATCCTGAGAATTGTGTTGAATTTATTTCAGACCATTTTACAACTGTTTTGAAGGTGTTTTATGACTTGGGTTTTCTTAAGGCTGGAGAAATTGAAAATAACTAGGGACAGTTTAGAAATTAGTCCTGATAAGAGAGAGGTGGGGTGGCTTATGAATCTTTGTACGTTTTTGGTGTTAACTTTTCCCCTGCACTTATAACAGAGGATTTGGTCATTTTATGAATGAATTCAGTGATCATTTTCTGCCCCTTTATGTATACTGTTCCATCTTTTGGGAATCTCTGATTCTCAAAGTCATTTTCCTGTTTCCTTATTTAGGCCTGTCTTTCTCCACTTTATATCAGCACTTCCAAAATTGTAGAAATTCTGAGGGAAAAATGGGAGTTCCATGGTCAAATGAGTTTGAGAAGTACAGTGTCAAGCAGAAGTCAATAGCTTATTTTACTACAGGGCCTTCTAGAGCCTTCAGTATTCTAATGTGCATTGTGACTCTCCAAAAGGCAAATAGAGATTGCAGTGTTTCCTCAAGTAATTGATCATGGAACCCTTTCCAAAGGACAAATACTCATAGAACCCAGTTCATTAATCTTCAAATGAAGACTTCCAGTTCTTTGGTAGACTTTTCTTTAGTGGAAGATATGCTCTATGCTGTCTCTCTGCTGTCGCTAAGTCACTTCAGTCATGTCAGACTCTGTGCGACCCCATAGACGGCAGCCCACCAGGCTCCCCTGTCCCTGGGATTCTCCAGGCAAGAACACTGGAGTCGGTTGCCATTTCCTTCTCCAATGCTGTTTCTCTACTAGACTTCAACTCCGAGGTCAATTTCTCCTGTTTTCTTGAAATCAAACCTGATCTCCTTTATATTTTGGAATACTTTGATCTCCTTTACATTCTGCCTCTTTCTTAGGTCCTGGGATGGGCACTCTGGATACCACCCAAGAGTTCAAGTTCATCCATAGAGGACTTTTGCTAAATAACCTAGTACAGCTTTCAGGATCTTTTTACTCCACCTCAATTCAACTGTCAATACTTCTGATGCTTTATTCAAGGCACCTAGCTAAGTACACACTGCTGAAGCTAAATAAGATCTATTTTTACCTCTCAGGAGTATGTATATAAGAAATAAGACAAGTGTGGGGCACAAAACACAAGTTAAATGCTAAGCAAGAGGTACAAACCACCTTGGAGTTCAGTGGAGAAACAATAACAAGTGGGCATATGGGGGACAGGTACAGGTGGGAAGAAACAGGAAAGATCTCATTTGGGGATGTATCATTTGGAACGGACCTTAAATTTTTCTTAAATGTAGACAGTGAGACTGGAGAAGGCTTACAAGCGTAGGGTATAGCATATGCCAGGCATGAAGATAAGGAGGGGTAAGTTCAAGTGCTTCTGTCTGGCGGGAGCATATGAAGCTTCCAGGATGAGTTGTAGATGGGGTACAGCCAGAGTATGAACAATAAAAATGCAAAAAAGGAGTTGAGTGCCAGTGTGAGTTATACAAATACTGTTGTCCATAGGAAACCACTGAAGAATTTTTGAGTGGGATGGTAATTCGGGGGCCATTTTGTTCTTCCCCATCTCTTATCCTGTCTTCTGAACTCTCGTTCCTTTGTCTCTGTCCAGCACAGCCACATATCGAAATTTCAGCCAATGAATCAAATCTCCAGTCTCCAAATCTGCTGATAGAGTACCTCCTCTTGAAGAGCTGTCCAGAGTACAACAGAATCCTGAGTGCTAGATTCTAATAAATGTGCACCCACTCCATGTAGAATACTATCAGCAGGCAGAAAGCTGTGGAGAGGGTGTTCAGATAAATAATACAGATAAGAGGCCATTGGTGAAGTTAATGATAAAACTCTGGGGAGTCATGATTTCAGGGTATTAAGGAGGAAAATGATAAAAAAAAATTAGGGGCAGGTGGTAAATTCTAAGTAGTGAGCCAAGACAATGGACTGTAGCTAGGCAGACTTGCAAGGCAGTGCAGGACTAAAATTGGCACTGGTGTGCAATGAAGAGTGAAACCAAAGCGCGTGAAGGTAGTTAGAGATCACACCAGGCCTTATGAAGCACTATCCTCCCCGGAGTGTTGAGGGCACCGGACCCTGAAAGGCTGTTGAGATGGGCCTGGAGAAAGTGTGTGTGTTTAATGGTCTTGATTTTTCTGTGAGGTCCTGGGGTAATGGGGGCTAGGAGAAGTTGAAGATGTAAGAAAGCTGAAGCCTGCTGTGTGGAATCAATAAAGGAGCAGAGCGAAGCTTTGGTTGTTTTGCTTTGGGCAGAGTGGGGCTCTGTCGGCCCGGCGCGGAATTCCACCCCGTGACCGAGGGCGTCTATGGGGGCCCCCGTGGCTACACTGCCGGGAGCCTTAGCGCTCTCCGCCTGTCGCAGCGCGGGGCCAGCCGGGCGGGCAGGGTGGAGCCGAGCGGTCCGCGGGGCAGCAGCCGGAGCTCGTCTCGCTCTCCCTCCTGCAGGTGCGCCTGGAAAGGCGGACGCGGAGGAGCGGGCGCCCGCCATGGCGGGCCCGCATCTTCCCACCGAGGCCTCTAGCCCGCCGCCCCCGCGGAACGGCCCTCCGCAGCCCCTGTGAGGAGGAAGAGGCGGTGGCGGCGGACGAGGCGCCGCCCCTTTGGCGAGCTTCTCGACCCGGCGGCCTCCGCAGGACCCATGGCGGATTCCTCGCCCGCTCCGTCCCTGCGGGCAGGCGGCCCCCGTGCGCCCTGGTCCTCGGCCCCCTCGCCGCCGCACTCGCGTTCGGGCTCCGAGGCCGAGGAGGCCGAGCTGTCGCTGAGCCTGGCACGCACCAAGACCCGCTCGTACGGTAGCACGGCCAGCGTGCGGGCGCCGCTGGGCGCCGGCGTCATCGAGCGCCATGTGGAGCACCGGGTCCGCGCCGGCGACACGCTGCAGGGCATCGCGCTCAAGTACGGAGTCTCGGTGAGCAGGGCTGGCGGCCGCGGGCGGGGGCGCCGCGGCTCGGGGCGTGGCGCGCGAGGAGCCGGGCGTCGAGGAGCAGCCAGCGGCCCCCGGCGGCTCGGCCTCGAGCGCTCGCCCAGCGCGCGCTGCCGGGACAGCGACAGTAGCCAGAGGGGCGGGCCGTGAAGGCTCTCCCGGGTGGGCGCATCGAGTTCCCGATGCCTTGCCCACAACTCGGATAGGATCCGCCGCTTGAGGAAGGCCAAAGAGGACCAGGGCATCGGCACCACCTGGACCCAGATTCGCCCGATTTTCGTTCTGGGTCATACTGCTATGTAATATTTCCTGGACGCCGAACTGATGTTTGGATTTGGGCAGAGAATTTTGTTTTCTGGGTAAACAAGCACTATGATGAGTCAGGAAGGGTACAGTTGTTCCCGCCGGGTGGTTCTGGTTCTATTGATTATGCTTCTTTATTTAGAAGTGAAATTACACTCCTGGGCTCACTGGCAAGTGTGCATGTGACACCTGTCGCTAAGCAGCGGCCAAGAATGTGGTCCAGGTGAGCTGGAGAGCTGTGTTTATTATAAATTTATAAGTGCCGGTGTGCCTGTGCCTTGGGCCTATTGCATTACACCTCTGGGAAGAACATGGAAACCTGAGGGAGCATATTTTTCATTAAAATTACTTATAATTAACTCTGAACTGTGTGATGGCCTTTTAACATGTGAGTCCTGTATCAGTTTTCAATGTTCTTCCCTGAAGCACCCTAGACAGCAATAGGAAGAAAGGTGATCTTGTCTTTATCTTTCTCTGCAAGTGAAACTCTTTCTGGCTCTTCACCAGTGACAGAGACTGAGTCATCTCATTTGCACACCCAAGCTGGTGTGTGTTTACCTGGCAGGTCCTACTATCATTTAAACAGTCTGAGAGCAGGGATCTTGCTGTGCAGACATGTACGGAGGATTTCGTGCCATGGTTTGTCCTATTCCGCTCCCTTGGGAGTTTCTAAATGTGAACATAGAACGTCAGTCCTTATATTTGCATTCATGGGGACTGGTTTGAGTCAGAGCCAGCAGAAGCAGTTAGGAAGTTGTCAGTAGCTACACCTTCTGTTGAGTGCCTGCTGTGTGCCAGGCATTGCATTTGTCCAGTACCATCTTGTTCTTACTCAGTTTGATTTTCCTAAGGCTTGGAGATAGGTGTAATTAATCTCCTTTTTACAGATGAGAGGTAAGGATATTTTCCAGTATTCCATTCCAATATTCCAATGCTTATTCATTGAGATTAGCTTGAATTAGCACAGTGATAAAGCATTTGCTTTGCTCTAGGTATTACTTCTGATTTCCATCCTTATTTTTATCCTAGTCTTATCAAGAGCTATCTTTCTCATTTTGATTCCTCCAGAAGGATGGTCTGTTCTTTGTGTTTCTGTGCATCTTTTCTGTTTAATACTAGGCCAGGCTCACTGTACCTAGGAACCCATGATTTCCAGAGAGTGTCATTTCCCTGGCCCCTACCCATAGCAGTCTCTCTGCTCCTCACTGCCCTCCGTGATTCCATTTGGGTTGCTCAGAGCTCCTGAACATCTGTTCACTGCAGTTCTCCACCTTTGATCAAATGCTTTCTAATCCCTGTTTTCACTGATGTAGATCCTGTTCCTCATAACTTTATCATCTCTTTTCATTAAAGTGTAAGTCAGTTTTTTTCATTATCTTTATAAAGACTTAATTTTAAGATGTTAAGCTCAAGTATAGTGAATTGGGAACTATAATCTGTAACCACAATCTATTTTAGTGTTTCTTAACTGCACCCCTATAGGTACTAGGGACTGGATAATTCTTTGTCTCAGGGGACTGTTCTGTGCATTGTGAGATGTTTAGCAGCATCTCTGTTCTCTGCCCAGTAAATGCCACTAGCACCCCCCACTCCCATCTAGAAATTTATCCACATATTCCCTGAGAAACCCTCCCTCTTGGTTGAGTACCAATGGTTCTCATTTACTTTGGATTTTGAACTCCAATTGATGAAATTTTTAGAGACTCTTCCCATTGGTTATACAGAACTAGTAAAAGTGCAGATACTCACCATAACAGTGAAGTGATATTATTGCAGTACAGATGTTAACTGTACTACAGTTAACTGTAGTATAACTACAGATGTTAATTGGATTTACTCATTGAAAATTTGTTTTATGTGGAAGTTAAGGCAGAAAGGTTTTTCATTCCTCAATTAAACAGAAAGAAGTTGAGTTAGTTAAGTTTCTCATATTGATTGCCAAGATCACCCACATCGTATTTAAATTAAATTGCTTAAAGGGGTAGGTGATGAGAAATTAGAGATTTAGAGCTTACCTCAAACCTACTGGATCAGAATATCCAGTAAAGGAGCCCAGGAATGTTCCTGTTTTATAAGCATGGCCCTTTTTCTCATTCAAAATGCAGTGTCCTTTCTTGGGAATCTTTGAACTTGCTGTTCCATCCATCTGTGGGGAGCACTTTCCCTGATAGCTGTGTGCAGGGCCATGTCATAGCTGGGGGACTTGTGCAGTCACATAAACCCCATGCTTAGAGGAATCCTGCAGTTAATGGTCTGCTGTTGCTGTCTTTAAATGTTTACTAATTTGTTAACAGTGGCCCCACATTTTCACTTTCCTTGTCTGTATGTGCTCAGTCACTTCAGTCATGTCAGACTCTTCGCAACTCTGTGGACTCTGGTCTGCCAGACTCTTCAGTCCATGGGATTCTCCAGGCAAGAATATTAGAGTGCCATTTCCTTCTCCAGGGCATCTTCCCAACCTAGGAATCGGACCCATGTTTCCTGCATTGCAGGTGAATTCTTTACCAGCTAAGCCATCTTGGGACCTGCAAATCATGTGGCTGATATTGGCTTTGTGACCTGCCCTCTCACTGCCTTCAAGTCTTTGTTTAAATATCTCCTCCTTGAGGCCTTCCAGGCCACTCCATGTCAAATTGCAACCTTCCTTCACCCCAATGCCCTTCCTCTCTTTCCTGAATTGCTTTCTCAATAGTGTTTATCATTCATCAGATTTTTTTTTCCCCTAGCTTCTACCTTTCTGGTGATACATTAGTGAATAACTAAAAGTTCTTATCCTCATGGAACTTATGTTTTAGTCAGTGGAGACAGTAAGTAAACAAAGTTTACTTATTATATGTCAGGTACTGACAAGCAAAATGAAAAAAAAAAAAAATTAAGCAGGGAAAGGAGTTTAGGCTGTGGCTGTGGCTGCGATTTCAAATGGTGTGGCCACGGAAGACCTCAGTGAGGGAAACTGAAACTACTGGGGATGAATTGAGAAGCTATTAAATATAGTTCAGATCGCAGACGCAGACTTGCTGGGGCTGGAATTTCCCGGGCTGTGCTTATGTCCACTGAGACATTAAGTCCCTTCCCCTAACCCAGTATTCTATATTTTGCTACAGCTTTTTCGGTGATGCCAGTTCCTTTCATTGGGGGCAAGCCTGTGGAGGGAAATGACGAATCGGGCACCTGCTGGGAACTTTCTGTTTAGAAGCCCTGTGTATAACTAGAACGTGATGACAGGCAGCAAGGGAAGCTGTTATGTGCACAAACTTTGTCTTTTTTTGTTTATCCCCTCACAACTTCCCTGACCTCTACCCTCTCCAGACAGTTGTGCCAACCCCCAACCCTGTGTCCAGAGTCACTTCCGGTCCAGTTTTATTCCTAGGGTCTTCTCTTTGTCTTCCCATGAGCTGTTGAGCCCACTTGCTTTTTCACACTTCTCCTGTCAGAAGTCACCTTGCTGAGAAAAGGTGAAATGATTTTCATTTTAGGGGGAATAAGTGTGGTGATTTAGAAATGTAAGTGTATGTAAATCTTTTGTGTTTAGAACTTTAACCCCTTCTGCTGTTACTGTAGGAAATTGTTGACTTTGATGGTCAAAGGGGAGAGAACCATAAATAAATGGTATTGCCTGTTGTAAGAGGTATGGTACTAAGGTAGCCCTTAGTAGCTTTAGGGTTTAATAGATTCTCATGCCTTCTTTATTTAAAAGCAACTTTATCAAAGTATAATTTATATACTGTAGAATTCACCCATCTTAAGTGTACAATTCAAGGATTTTTCAAGAGTTGTGCAGCTGATCTCCGGGGGCCTCAGCCTGCAGTGGCTTGGAGTGGGCCTTAGGTTCCCAGTCAGAGACTGAGGCCGGGTCACGGCAGTGAAGGCACCAGATCTTAACTACTAGACCAGTGGTCAGTGACAAGGGCCCTGACCCTTCGGCTTTGCAGAAAAGAATTTCTACAAAGACAGAAAGTACTGAGGCAAGTAAAGTATTTATTAGGAGGGAAAAAAGAGTATAGTACGTGTGGATAGACGCATGGGCAGACTCAGAGGGAGAGTCCCTGAGTTGTGCCCTTGTGGCAGTTTGAATTTTGGGGGGGGGCCTTTTCTCCTGTTTTCCTTTGGCCAATCAGTTTGATCTGCCTGGTTCACAGTCCATGTTTGGTCTATCTCAGGATCTACCCTTGTGTGTGCACACATCTCTTAGCCAGGATGGATTCTACCAAAAAGGTGTCTGGGTAGAACATCCCTTGACAGAATTCTCCTCTGGCCTATTGTTGTTGTTTGTTTGTTTTAAATGAATGGAGAGGAAGAAAAAGAAGCTTTGAATATTGCATCTCCAGTTAGGTAGGTGGCCTGGTGAAGGTGATCCAAAACAGCCTTTGGGGAGAGTTCTTGTTCAGGCCCAACAGCAGCTATTGAGATCACTTTTCGGGAGACATTTTGTGAATTCAGCGTGAATTCACCTTTGCACTGTGTATTTACTGGGGAGTCATTTTAAACAAGTTGTTGACAGATTTGTTCCACCTGATTTTACCACAGTGGTCCTTGGGGCTGTCCTGTCAGCTCTTACTCGATTCTTCTGTGATCTGTTTCTTAGTGAGCAGATGGTAAATTTCACTGAGTCATGCTCCTCAGTCCTGATTAGGAAAGACTTAAAATGAAAGCATTTGGCTGCTGTGTCTCCCCCTCCTAGTCATCTGCCCTCAGGAAACAAAGGGTAGATCTGCATTACTCTGAAAAGGTCACACTTTCTATTTTCAGCGCTCATTGGGTAGTTGGAGATACTGAAGGGAGGGCAGGTGGGGAAAGGTGTAGAGTTTTTCAGCTTTTCCTTGGATTGGATCATGACTTTTCTTAGTTTTATGTGAGGTGAAATTCCCAGAACCTTAGACCCATCTAAGTTCAGATGAAAGTATAAAACATTCCAAAGCAAATTAAAATATTTCAGTTTGGGATTATTTATATCCCTTGTCTGTGCTACTGCAGTTTCTTCTATAACTGGGCTTCCTGTTTCCACTAATGCCTCTTTCTTACCAATCCATTTTCCATAAAGTGGGATGATCTTCAAATCATTCTACTCACTTCCTCCATACACCCTCCAATGGCTTCCCTTCACATTTAAAATAAAATCCAAATTTTATTTATTATATGAGTGACCTACAGCTTGCTCTTTATTCTCTACATTTCAGCCATGAAATTTCAGCTGGGGCCTTGCAACTACTCTCTCTGGCAAGAATCCTTTTTTTTGTTTCCCCTGACTTTTTGCATGGCTGGTTTCATTCCTTAACTTTACTATTGGTTACAGAGTTTGGAGCCTATACTTGTAAAAAAGAACAAGTTAAGATCAAATTAAATAGCTTTTAAAAAGAAAAAAACTTAATGCTGTTACCTTGGGGCAGTGACAACATGTTACTCATCTGGGATTGTTTATATGAAATTTTCTTTATATATTTTTACTTTGTGGGATAAATATTTTTTATTGAGAGAAAATTCCTACCTCCTTTTAATTTGATGAATACATGTTAGGATCTGCCCTTATTGTTGCTTTCTCACTTTTAACCAAATTTAATGATAGTTGCTAGCATTTTTAAGTGCTTCCTGTGTGCCATGCACTGTTACAAATGTTTTACCTGAATTAACCCATTGAATTGTCATAATAATCATATTGTGTAGAAAGTACTATTATTTTCCTTAATTTACAGAAAAGAAAACAGACATAGGGAGTGATTAGAAAATGGTAAAGCCAGAGCCCTTGTTTCTGCTTGCAACCTTATATTAACCTCCTTTACCTGTTTTCACCTTCAGTTTCAAATCTGCGGGTCCTTAGATTGGTTCCCACCTTGATGCCAACTGTGTCTGGATATTGCTGATGTTCTTGATGCTGGCATCTGTGTGTCATCTTAGAATCTAGATCATCAGACTCAACGTATAACTTAAATACTTGCTAGCAATGCTGAAATGGAGGTGACCTGACCTGGAGACGCTCATAGACTTGTTAAAAGAGGCAGTTCTGTTGTTGCATCAGTGGTACAGTGGCATGCACGAGAGCTGGGGGGCCCAGCCCTTCACTCCCTGGGGTCTCCCTGGCTTTACCCAGCTGTGGACTCAGTCTCTTGTCTTGTGCTTCCTGTCATCGGCCCCTTGCCTGGCTATGATGGCCTTTCTTGCTCTAAGTGACAGATGTATCAGGGTCCCCAAAGACTACAGCGCACCCTTGAGGGTTTAATGCAGAGACATTTGTAGAAGTGGGAATAGGATTAAGGGATTAAGGGGTGGTGAAGCACCTGAGACTAGCAACAGCAGGGAGACAGGCCTTCCCCTAGGCCTGAGGGCTGGGGAAGGAGTGTGGTACCCGAAACTGAGGAGGATGGGAGGAGTGGACGAAGGGGCTCCCGGCAGGAACTCTGCCACAGAGGGATGCAGGCACCAGAGTCATGGTGTGGCCATTCTGCTGGCGGCCTTCTTTTGGAACACCGACTGGAATTCCAAGAACAAGGGGCCTAGGGAAGTGCAGTTCTGATGAGGTCAGCCTCCTGGGGTCAGAACAGGCTCAAGAAGACTGGGGGATGGATTGGGAGCTGAGGGTGGGTTTAAAGGGAGAAAAACCAACACAACAGGTAACTGACTACCGCTTTCTGGTTACTTCTCTGGGTTCATCTTTTATGCCTATTTCTCTGCATGTGTTCGTGTATGCTCAGTAATGTCTGGCTCTTTGTGACCCCATGGACTGTAACCCACCAGGCTCCTCTGCCCATGGAATTCTCTAGGCAAGAATATGGGAGTGGGTTGCCATTTATTCCTCCAATTTCTCTGACCTATGTTAATTAATTAATCCATCCATCCTAAGCACTTAGTGTATATATCTTTGCTCGACCTGGGAAGCTATAGAAACAGCAGGTCTTGTCCTGAGGGAATTCATGGTTTATGGTTGATGTTCCCAGCCCATCCTCAACAACCATATCCTGGTGTTCCCAGCTGTTTCTGTCTTCCATCATTATTTCCAGATTGCAGTGACTCTTAGCAATTGTAGGCTTGTGCCAATAAGTATTTCAAAGGGCACTGTATCAAAGAGGGTTCTTGCATTTATAAGTAACAGAAAACTCAAATTGAACTGAGCGGAAAAAAAAAAAGGGTCATTTACTGGCTTATTACTGGAACTGAAGGGCATGAGGGTTTTCGGGCTTCAGGCTTTGGTTCAGAGCTCTAATGATCTCCTCCAAGGTGATCCTGTAGTTAAGTTCCTTGCGGTAAAAGGATGGCCGCCAGCAGCTCCAGACCTATCTCTTTCTTGAAGAAAAAATAGAAGTCTGTCACCTCCCAGACCCAGCAGAAGTCTCCTTGCATCTCTGAATTGTTCCGAGGTGGGAGTGTGACCTGTCAGGACAGCTTGGGCACCGTGATGCTTCAAAGGGCAGGAATGAGTCATGTGTTCACCCTGGAGCCAGGCGAGGGCTCAGTGTCCTCAGAAGCCCTTTTACTAAGAGAGATAGAGGACGTGGATGCTAGGTGGTGAACACAAGAGGTCCCAAAGGCAGACTAGGATATACCTGAACCTGCTCTGGACACATTTTCAAGTTCTTTAAGTGGCTCAAATCTAAACCTAAACTAGACCAGAGACACTTTAATGATTCTGAGATTTTAATTTTGTCTCTAAAACGTGTCTGCATATGCTCTTTCTCACCCTTGCCTTCTCTCTTTTAACTAGAAACTAGAACATAAAAGACCACCTCCACAAAAAATAAAAGATAGCATTGAATGTGCTATTTTGTGGATTCAGCTTATATTTAGAAAGCAGGAGGAACAGGGTGTATTTTATTTGACTTATTTTTTCAGGCTCTTTGAAGTAGAAATCTAATTTTTTCACTCAATCGATTTGGCATTAAAGGATCCCAGAATTGGGTTCGATTAGTCATGTACTTTAATCTTGGTGTTATATGGACTTCAGAGTCAGACAGAAATTCTTGCTTATACAGACCATGTACACTTGGTCAGCTCAGTCATCTCTTTTGCCTTAATTTCTTCGTAGGAAAATGGAAAGTAAGTACCATTTACTACTAAATTGTCTCTCCCTTTCACATCTATGTCTTTACATCTGTGCCTCTATCCTGTATGCATATTTACATATAAACTCCCATTTAATCCCTCTAACTACCCTGTGAAGGGTAGATGATACCTATTTTATACATGAGGAAATAGGCATAATGAGATAAGTAACAAATTTATGTTCAGACAGTTTGTGTTGGTGAAGCTGGATTTGAAACAGATCTGTCACATCCCCAAACCTGTGTGCTTAGCTATTATTCCAAGCTGTCTTGTTGACATATCTCACAAGATTAGATGGTATAGTGCATATAAAGAGCCTACTTGCACGGTGCAAGTTCCCAGGCTAGTAGGCTGGACAGGTCTGCAGATGCATGATAGTATGGTGTGATGAACCTGGGCAGGTGCTTCCCTGACAGTTCTGCACCAGCACAGCCAAGGATGCTGTCTGCACTTACCGCATTTGGGGACCTAGGCATGCCACTTCAGTCTCTCCCCATTTGTAGAAGAGGAGAGGATAATATTGCAGAACTGCTAGGAAGGTTAAGTGAGGTAACATATACATATTCCATTTCCCCTTTCACCTTCCATCTCCATTTCTTTGGTTTGGAGGAATTCACAGGCTGTGAAAGAGTTTGAAGTTTTGAAACCTGTATAAAATTCTGGCTTCTGCATCTCCCGATTGCATGGTGATTCCATGGTACATAATCTTCTTATTTTGTTTCTTTTATTTGTAAAGTGGATTTTCAAGTACCTAATCCTTAAGGTAGAGAAAATAAGATACTCCATGTAAAGTGCTCCCTACCTCTTTCCTTACGTGTCCTAGTTCTACCCGTTCTTCAAGCCCCCATCTAAAGTCAGGACAGTCAAAATCAGAGCCCCACCTTCTCTGTGAGGTCTTAATGACTGAAGTCCCAGCCTACACCATTCTTCCTAATTTTTGTACTTTCTTCCTTTACCACCTCCTGTGTCCATTAAATTTACCAAACACAATTCTAGAGATGGGAAGAACTCCATAAAGAAAATCACTGCACTGGGAAATTTGTTTATATCAGATAATACAAATGTAAAAATATGATTGAAATGTATTAAATAATTGCTAAATATTCTACATTTTTTAACTTTAGGGATTTAAGTTGTGTGGTAAAAGCTGCCTTAGAGGGGAAATAATACAACTGGGGAAAAGTTAGTCTTTCTTCTTATAAAATTGTGAAAGAGGATTTTCTGGCATTTCTTGAAATAACTGGGGGTGTCTGGGAATCAAGAGTCTCAGATCCAGAGAAAGCATATTTTGCTCATGAATATTTTTAGCTTGTGTTGTGTAATAAGCCCTACTTTTGGATTTATTTATATGTAACTGTTTTTTTTTTAAACATTTTAGATGGAACAAATTAAAAGGGCAAATAAACTGTTTACGAATGATTGTATATTTCTGAAGAAAACTTTGAACATCCCAGTTATATCAGAGAAGCCTTTGCTGTTTAATGGACTTAACTCAGTAGATTCTCCAGAAAATGAAACTGTTGATAGTTTTTCTCATGAAGAGGAGCTGGTAGCAGCTGGGGAAGACGTCTCTCCTCCCAGCCCTCAAGAATTGGATGTTCAGCCCATACAGCCCGAGGAAGTATCAGCCAGAGATTTCCTGCAGAGGCTGGACTTGCAGATTAAGTTATCAACACAGGCAGCCAAGAAACTGAAAGAAGAGAGCAGGTAAAAATACCCTGGAAAAATGTCAGAGGCTGAGTAAATTACTCTTAAGATGTCCTTGTGTGGTCAACTTGTCTTTTTTTGCCTTTAAAACTAGATTTTAATACTAGAAAGGCATTTTTAATGTATAAAGTGTAAACAGAGCTACTGCAATCTGTATAAAGCATTGTCTGTTGCAGTGCTTTTGTTTGTGGTACTTATACAAAATTTACTTCTTTGCTTTAATAGCATAACTATCCAGCTAAGCAATTCTGGAGAGTGTCCAAGTAGACCTCTAGTTGATACCATCAGAGGAAGCAGTGTCCTAGAGAATGCTTGTAAAATGCTGTTCTTCATGAAACTTGTCAAGGACATTGTCTATTATTGGTTACCAGATGTTTTCCTAAATAAGGTCTCATGTGAACTTTTCCTTTTGTTCTTTAATTTGGTACTAAGGCAAAACTTTCTCTTATAGAATCGATTTCCTTCTTCCTTTATGATTCCTAGAAGGACACAACTTACTCTGTTTTCTTTTTTGCCCTGGCTACCAGAAAGCTTGCAGCCAAAACTGGTCCTCAGTTCAACTAATCATTGCTGATGGTTAATGTATTTTGTTGTTGTTTAGTTGCTCAGTCGTGTCCAACTTTTTGTGACCCCATGGACTGTAGTCTGCCAGGCTCCTCTGTCTATGGATTTCCCAGGCAAGAATACTGGAGTGGGTTGCCATTTCCTTCTCCAAGCGATCTTCCTGATCCCTGGATTGAACCCGAGTCACCTGCTTGGCAGGCGGATTCATCACCACTGAGCCACCTGGGAAGACCTTAATATATTTTATCCTTCTCCTTTCTGTAGTCCTGATTTTTAATTTCTGTTTTACCCATCTTATTATATATATATATGCCTTTTGTTTTAGGTACCTCAAATCGTTTTGACAAAGAGGTAGAATATTAAAGATACAAACAAATATAAATGTGAATTTAATTAATTTATAATTTAATATAAATTTATATAGTATAAACAAATACAAATATTTTGACAAATACTATTCTTTATTCCAATAACTGAGACAGCAGTAAAATGAGGACAATGAAGTATACCTTAGTGTTTGCATTTTNTGACAAATACTATTCTTTATTCCAATAACTGAGACAGCAGTAAAATGAGGACAATGAAGTATACCTTAGTGTTTGCATTTTGTACAACTTTCAAGGCATGCATGATGTTATAAATTGATATAACTCCTACCCTGGATATTAAGTTGTACAATTAATATATGTATATTCTGAGTACAATTTTTAAACACTGATTTATGCTGTTTCTTTTTTTTTTCAGAGATGAAGAAAGTCTCTATACAGCTTCCCTTTATCATAGTTAAATGATCAGGGGACATAATCTAACCTGGTTAAGAGATGGCTGGATCATAAAGAAACCAACAACAGATGATTCAGAAGCATCCTTTTTGGATTCTCATAGCATACATCTTTAAATCACAATTAGTTAGTTCCAGCTATGGCAGTTGCACTGAAGTCACTAGTTTCCTCAGGCTTTCTCTGATTTTCAGTCTTTATTATGGCATGATTGCAAAACTGGGTCTTAATGCTCATCACTTTTGCCAGTGGTGGTAGTTTTTAGCTTTTTAGTTTCTAGCTTTTGTAAACACTAGCTGACATAAAGCCTCAAACACTATTTACATATTCAAGCTGAAATAATGTTTATCTCCTGAGAAATCCTAATTATGTGAAAAACATGGTTGCTGTATGCTGATTTTGCTATGTGTTTATAACTTAAGTACTATATATATATATTTCGATATGTATGACTATAAAGCAAATTTTGTCTGCTATTTTGTAAAAATAAACTACAGAAGTCTGAATGAGAAAATAAACTATGTTTTCATAATTGAGTCTTCAGTTTTTTTCAACAAATGGGAATATTAGATAGATTTTTAAATTACAGTTTTAAATGGTGACAGCTTCTCTAATGATCTTTATTGTTATAATCGCAATTTTGGAAAAGGTTTCAAAAATCTAAAAGCAAATAAATTGCAATTACCAGTAACTTTTGCATCTCAATAATCTGACTTGTGTTTCAGATATAGTGAAAACATGGAATATATCAAAGAAGAAGTAAACAATGCCAAGACTAGACCCACTGGTAAATTCTAGCTTAGATTTCATTGATAAGTCATGTTATAGAATGTTGTACAGTCACTCTTGCTCATTTGAAGGACTAAGGACTTAGTTAGCTTTTTAGTCACATAATTTGTCTTTTACAGTAAACTTTAAGCAATGTATTATTTATAATTAAATATTTTTTTTATTGGAGTATGATTGCTTTACAGTGTTGCATCAGTTTCTGCTATACAAGGAAATAAACCAGTGGTATATGTACATATATCCCCTCCCTCTTGGATCTCCCCCCACTCATCCCCCCATCTTACCCCTCTAGGTCAGTATCACAAAGTACTGAGCTCACCTCCCTGTGCTACACAGCAGGTTCCCACTACTTATCTATTTTCCATATAGTAGTGTGTATATATATGTCAATCCTCATCTCCCAGTTTGCCCCACTCTCCCCTTCCCCTACTCCCGGGTCCACACATCCATTCTCTATGTCTGCATCTCTATTCCTGCCCTGCACATATGTTCATCTGTACCATTTTCCTACATTCCACATATATGCCTTAATATATGATACTTGTTTTTCTCTTTCTGACTTACTTCACTGTGTATGACAGAACTCTAGGTTCATCCATCTCACTATAGCTGACTCAGTTTTACTCCTTCTTGTGACTAATATACCATACAATTAAATTTTTTTTCAATGTCTATTCAGGAATTGGGTTAAATAAATCTTTAAGCTTCCACAAAAAGTCCTTACATTTATCCCTCCTAAAAGGGGTCTTCTTTCTTCTTCTTTCTGTGAGGCAAGGAAGGACATTTTTTCCATTCTCCCTCTTTTCTCTTTCCTCATTTTCTTTTCCATCTGGCTCCTCCAGGTCTTCCACGAAAATGAAAACAAGTACCCTCCGGGGTTAATGAAACAGAATGTGCAATACCAGAATTGCACAGATTCACCCCTTAAGGCTGACCAACAGTGGCTGCCTTAAGGGTGACCAACAGAGTATATTGCCACCCTGCTTATTTAACGTAAGAGTACATCATGAGAAATGCTGGACTGGATGAAGCACAAGCTGGAATCAAGATTGCCGGGAGAAATATCAATAACCTCAGATATGCAGATGACACCACCCTTATGGCAGAAAGTGAAGGAGAACTAAAGAGCCTCCTGATGAAATTGAAAGAGGAGAGTGAAAAAGTTGGCTTAAAGCTCAACATTCAGAAAACTAAGATCATGGCATCTGGTCCCATCACTTCATGGNCAATCTTGGGGAGTTGGTGATGGACAGGGAAGCCTGGCATGCTGCCATCCGGGGGTTGCAAAGAGTTGGACATGACTGAGCAACTGAACTGAACAGGGGCATGAATGGAAAGCAGCTGTTTGCCCTTGTCTTAAATTTCTCACTTGTTCATAATGTACATAATCCCTTGTGTTTTGGGTTTTTTCCCCTAATTTTTTCTCATGATAACTGCTCATTTTTCCCCTTACATTATTATTATTTTTGCTATATGGTTATCTCTTGATCATGCTTTGCTATTTTCATGTAGCCATTCCTACCTACATTATGGGGAGGGAGTTGAAAAAACAAAAAGTAAAAGAAAAAAAATTTTTTTGAAGGGAAACAGTCATGTATATAAGGAAATGTCAAGTCCTCTTTAAAAAAAAATGTCCAGGAGTTATTTTTAATGTAAAGATTTTTTATGATAAAATAATATGAAGTTTGAGAGTAATCAAAAAAATGCAAATCCAAAAATACTATCCAGAAGACAAATTGGAAATGAAGGGCACAATCTCAGGAACATTTTTCTGAGTTATTTTATTTTTGCCTAAGGTCTCTCTTAGCAATTTCTAGCCAAAACATCTCTTCCCTCATCTTCAAGATACTGAAAACTGAATTCACCGAGGCCATGGTCGAACTGTGCTGGACTAGAGTCCTTTAGTCACTTGCACACAGAAGCACTGTGAGGAGGAACCGAGACAAGAATCTGGGTTCTAATCCCGGCTTTATCATTTCCTGGCCATCAGAGTTTGAGTATGTCCAGTGCCCTTTCTGTGAACCAGTTTCCTCATGTATAAAACAGGACTGACAATCTACTTCTGTCTTCAATAGGAACTAATGAATGTCAGTGTGCTCTGAAAGCTATAATGAACTCCCCTAGTAAATACCTTATTTTAAAAATACTGCATAGATATTTAGATAAACTATTAGACAAGTGAACGGAGAAAATGCTTGGGTCACCATCAGTAAATTCTAATGTAGAAGCAGCATTTTTGGACTACAGGCCATGGTGAAATCAAGTCATTTATCAAAGATGAGTCATTCAAATGGTCTGACTCATTGTGCTTTGGCAAGAATAGTTCAGGCAAAGATGTTTTAGTTCCTTCTCACTATTCACCAGTGGGCACTGGCTTTTCTAAAACATTATGAGTTTTGTTTCTCTGTGTGTCAGGCTGTGATTTTTGTTTCTGCAACTCTAGAGAAGGTGGGGAGAAGCAGCAGTGGTCTCCTCCCCGTGAAAACACCATTTGTAGCTTCTCTGTGTGTCCCCCATTCCTCACCAAAAACTGAGGTAGGGGTGTTCAAGACAGGTAGCAGAAGCCATCTGAAGTAAGATAGCTGATATACAAAACATGTTATTTTTATGACTTTCAACTGATATATATAGAAAATATATACTTAATTTATACTGAATAATATATTTTCAAAGCATTCTTTGGTTTGTTAATTCAAAGCATTAACACTTCAGGAGGAAGCATCACTGTGTGTTGTTTCTTGATTGTGTCTGTGGTGGTGGTTGAGGGTTTGCAAGGATCTAACTTTCGTTAACCTTGTCCTCTAGGGAAGCTCATCTACAAACTTCGGTTCACGGGGAAGGGAATGATTTAAAAAAAAAACCTTTTTATTTTATATTGGAGTGTAGCTGATTAACAATGTTGTGATAGTTTCAGGTGGACAGCAAAGGGGCTTAGCCATACATATACATGTGTCCATGGTCCCCCAAAGGAAGGGAATGATTTTTATCTTTATATTTACTCTTCCAAGCTTCCCAGGTGGTGCTAGTGGTAAAGAATCAGCCTGCCAATGCAGAAGATGCAAGAGACGTGGGTTCAATCCTTGGGTCAGGAAGATTCCCTGAAGGAGGAAATAGCAACCCACTCCAGTATTCTTGTCTGGAAAACTCTATGGACAGAGGAGTCTGGCATGATACAGTCCATGGGTTTGCTAAGAGTCAAACACACACACATCTATCTACCCTACTCCCTGGTTCTCTTGCTCTCTGTTGAGAAACCTTGGCTTGGATCAAATTCAGTTTGGATAACTTGAGTCTGGCATCAATTTTTACCTTGCTTTATGTAGTATTTTATGACCTCATTTGTCTTCTTGGAGAGTACATAGTTCAGTATCCCTCTTAAGAGAAAAACTCAATTTCTGAAATCCCACTAATAGGAAACATTGAGAGTGGGGAGAAATGGTTAATAAATCCAGCAAATCCTATGCCTATTTTTCAGGTTCCTTTTTGTGCCATTGGGTCTGATAAAGAGCCAGCAGGGGTAGCCAAAAAAGCTAATAGCTACACTTTAAGCTCTAGAGGCTTCGAGGAAATGTGAATTTATTTCAGCTCCCAAAAGGGAAGAGGTACAGAAGTGACATCTTGTAACAGATAGTCTATGAGGTGCTTTGGTACCCAGCATGCCTTGAAAACAGAGCCCCCTAATTCTTCAAGGAGGGTACTTGTATGTGTGACACAGTGAAATGAGGGTTCAGCTTTAAGTTCACTCCATTATAGGCTTTTCCAAAGCAACATATATCTGGTTATAAAATGTAAATCTATAAGGAAATAAGAATTCTATATACAAACTCTCAGCTTACATACAACTTTACTTTTCAGATAGTATTTATGGCAAGAAAGCTATTGTTTTAACCACTTTTAGGAGTAACTACTGTAAATTCAGGACTTTCTAATAATCGTTGGGTCAAAATAACTTTAATCACAGAATTAGAAGTGTTTTAAGCTACACTACATTTTCTGAAACAGATAAAAGACTCCTGGGTCGTTTGCCATTTTTACAGGCTACTGTAAATACGCTTAATAGCATCGGCTTCTTCTTTATCAAGGATGCCTTTCTCCACATAAGCATCAGCTTGTTGGTTGATGAAGTCCCTCATCTTTGAAAGGTCATAATCTGGAAAATATTATTCGAGTATCATGAGCAAAGATCAGGAAAGCACAATCCATTACACTGATTACTATTGGTGAAGCATTTTGTGCAAAACAGTTACCATGCCCATCTTTCACAATGGAAGGCATTTTAGATCTTGGCATTGTTGCAGTAGTTTGCAGCTTCAAATCATGTTTATATGCATTATATTATCCCATCTGCTTTTCATCACAACTTTTTGAGGCTTCCAGGTGGGGAGAATAGCCCTCATTTGACCAGAAAGGGAACAGATTCATAAACCAGGGCTCCACAAACTTTAATGTTTATATCAATCACCTGGGGCTGTTGGGAACTTGCAGATCTGTATTCAGTAGGCCTGAGCAGGGGAGGGGGACCAGATTCTGCATTTTAAACAAGGTTTCAGGAGATGTTGATGCTGCCGGTCCAGGAAACACACTGTGGGTAACAAGATCCTAAAGCTTAAGTTCCTTATTTAAGGTCACATAGCTAGTAACAGTTATGATCAGAACCAGGTGCTCTGACTTCTTCAACTTGTTACACTGGTTAAGCCCATGTTGCTATGACAACCCACTTTTTTTTCCATATTAAGAATTACCTTGATTTTCATGTTGTTTGAATTGTATGCAGGGAGTGAAAAGCGAAACCATAACCTCTTTGTGGTTCCTCTGTCCTACTTAAACAAAAAATTTATGTAAACCATTGAACCATCCACAAAAAACAAAGAGATCCTCAACCAAATAAGGAGGCTGCTGGTGGCATCTTTCTGAAGGCTTGGAAAAAACCCCCACATCTTCCCTTGATGCCTTAAGTGTTATATGCTTATTGTTTTAAAATATGTAAAATATAGAAGCACTAAATTAGTATTTAAATCACCTGGATTCTATTATCATTGATAACCTCAGTGGATATTTTGTTCTGTTTCCTTTTAGCTTTTCAATGTATATCTCAACACAGTTGTGATCACAGGGTACATTTAACAGGAAGATTCCCTGAAGGAGGAAATAGCAACCCACTCCAGTATTCTTGTCTGGAAAACTCTATGGACAGAGGAGTCTGGCATGATACAGTCCATGGGTTTGCTAAGAGTCAAACACACACACATCTATCTACCCTACTCCCTGGTTCTCTTGCTCTCTGTTGAGAAACCTTGGCTTGGATCAAATTCAGTTTGGATAACTTGAGTCTGGCATCAATTTTTACCTTGCTTTATGTAGTATTTTATGACCTCATTTTTCTTCTTGGAGAGTACATAGTTCGGTAGCCCTCTTAAGAGAAAAACTCAATTTCTGAAATCCCACTAATAGGAAACATTGAGAGTGGGGAGAAATGGTTAATAAATCCAGCAAATCCTATGCCTATTTTTCAGGTTCCTTTTTGTGCCATTGGGTCTGATAAAGAGCCAGCAGGGGTAGCCAAAAAAGCTAATAGCTACACTTTAAGCTCTAGAGGCTTCGAGGAAATGTGAATTTATTTCAGCTCCCAAAAGGGAAGAGGTACAGAAGTGACATCTTGTAACAGATAGTCTATGAGGTGCTTTGGTACCCAGCATGCCTTGAAAACAGAGCCCCCTAATTCTTCAAGGAGGGTACTTGTATGTGTGACACAGTGAAATGAGGGTTCAGCTTTAAGTTCACTCCATTATAGGCTTTTCCAAAGCAACATATATCTGGTTATAAAATGTAAATCTATAAGGAAATAAGAATTCTATATACAAACTCTCAGCTTACATACAACTTTACTTTTCAGATAGTATTTATGGCAAGAAAGCTATTGTTTTAACCACTTTTAGGAGTAACTACTGTAAATTCAGGACTTTCTAATAATCGTTGGGTCAAAATAACTTTAATCACAGAATTAGAAGTGTTTTAAGCTACACTACATTTTCTGAAACAGATAAAAGACTCCTGGGTCGTTTGCCATTTTTACAGGCTACTGTAAATACGCTTAATAGCATCGGCTTCTTCTTTATCAAGGATGCCTTTCTCCACATAAGCATCAGCTTGTTGGTTGATGAAGTCCCTCATCTTTGAAAGGTCATAATCTGGAAAATATTATTCGAGTATCATGAGCAAAGATCAGGAAAGCACAATCCATTACACTGATTACTATTGGTGAAGCATTTTGTGCAAAACAGTTACCATGCCCATCTTTCACAATGGAAGGCATTTTAGATCTTGGCATTGTTGCAGTAGTTTGCAGCTTCAAATCATGTTTATATGCATTATATTATCCCATCTGCTTTTCATCACAACTTTTTGAGGCGTCCAGGTGGGGAGAATAGCCCTCATTTGACCAGAAAGGGAACAGATTCATAAACCAGGGCTCCACAAACTTTAATGTTTATATCAATCACCTGGGGCTGTTGGGAACTTGCAGATCTGTATTCAGTAGGCCTGAGCAGGGGAGGGGGACCAGATTCTGCATTTTAAACAAGGTTTCAGGAGATGTTGATGCTGCCGGTCCAGGAAACACACTGTGGGTAACAAGATCCTAAAGCTTAAGTTCCTTATTTAAGGTCACATAGCTAGTAACAGTTATGATCAGAACCAGGTGCTCTGACTTCTTCAACTTGTTACACTGGTTAAGCCCATGTTGCTATGACAACCCACTTTTTTTTCCATATTAAGAATTACCTTGATTTTCATGTTGTTTGAATTGTATGCAGGGAGTGAAAAGCGAAACCATAACCTCTTTGTGGTTCCTCTGTCCTACTTAAACAAAAAATTTATGTAAACCATTGAACCATCCACAAAAAACAAAGAGATCCTCAACCAAATAAGGAGGCTGCTGGTGGCATCTTTCTGAAGGCTTGGAAAAAACCCCCACATCTTCCCTTGATGCCTTAAGTGTTATATGCTTATTGTTTTAAAATATGTAAAATATAGAAGCACTAAATTAGTATTTAAATCACCTGGATTCTATTATCATTGATAACCTCAGTGGATATTTTGTTCTGTTTCCTTTTAGCTTTTCAATGTATATCTCAACACAGTTGTGATCACAGGGTACATTTAACCTTATATTAATAACTAATTCCCTTCACTCAGTTTACACAGTGAACATTGATATTCTTCAGAAACATCATTTTAAAGCACTACATACAATACATTCTAGGGAGGCATCAAAATGAATGACACACGACCCCCATGATTGGGCAGATAGGTCTTCCACGACACCCCCCAGACCGTGAGCTGCCTGAGGCTGAGTTTCTTGGGTGCCATGCCATTCATCTTGAATGTCGGCAGCCCCTGGAACAAAGTTCTGCCTTCTGTCAGTTTGTAAAAGGAAGAGAAGGGGGCACGGGCGCAGCGGTACAAAAGCTCTGAGCATTCCATGGCCACCTTTAGGCAGCCTGAATAGATGCTGAACCTGGGTCACCCGGGCATCTTTAAGCCTCTGCATGAAAGGAAAACCAGACCTGAAGGACCTCTTTACAAGGATCAGGTGTTTATCATATCAAGGTGAAATCAGGCGCAGAGAGAGGTTGTTAGGAGGGCATTTGCTCCTTTTGGTTTGATGGGCATGACGACTGAAGAGATAACTAGCAGCACCGAGCGTTTTACAACTGCATCTTTTTTGCTCCTCACAAAACCCCACGAGGAAAGCGTTAGTGTCCCCGCTTCAGAGATGAACAGACAGGACAGAGGAGGTAAGTCACTCGCTCGGGTTATGAGAGAATCAGGTTCTGAATTCAGGTCTGTCTGTAGTCACTGCTTTGATCACTCTGTGGCCTTGAAGTACTGAATGTGAAGCATCTAACACATGCAGGACATTCAGTAAGTGTTTGGAGGCTCTATTGTGTTTCAGTTTTGACTTTCCCTTTCTCTCAGGCACGAGTTACAGAATCAGGCTGAGCGTGTATCTTGTGCGCACCTCACAAGGGGCTTCCTGACTGACTCACAGGGCACTGAGAAGCACTGGTTCAAATTATTAATAACCCTGGCTCTTCAGAACTGGTTCTGGGTCAGTATCTCTAGTGGGACAAAAGGCAAACTCCCCAAAAACATGTGTGAACAGATGATTTGAATAGACAAACAGGAAGATATTTTGCTTTCTTTTGGAAGGGAAAAATGCTCTCGTTATGACATGGCCGTCACTGTGTGAAAACGGGGGTGGAAATCCAGCACAGTGCAGAGGAAAGGCTGTTGGAGTCCCTCCCGGTTCTGCCCTAGCTGGCGGTTAGAGTGCGTCAGGAGTGCTACCTTGCTAACTTAAAATGGTTTTAAGGTAGTTAAGACTCAAGAAGGATAAGGGCTGTGATTCGCTTTTTGAAAAGTACAGACTTTCTTTTTAAGCCTGCTCAAGATTTCATTATTCTCCTCATTGTCACACGGCGTGGACCTCCCTTTCCTGAATTTGGGAAGTAGATTCAGGTCACCCCAGGCCCCTGTCAAGCAAAGGGCATCTGCAGAGGGTAAGGAAGGTCAGAACCAATGGTAAGATTTCCTGTTCACAGTGTCCCAGCCACTGTTGGCTCTAGGACCTGCGGCTCCACAGACTTTAAGAGATGACCCAGATCAGGCAGAGCACATATAAACGTAGTGGAGGAAGAGCTCTCTGTTTCTGCCTTGAGAAGGGTGAAATACATGTCACCCTCGCTTCCTAGAGGCAGAAGGAAGCCCAAACCCAACACTGTCATTCTGAAGTTTGTTCATAGAGCCTCCAATATGCAAGCACTAGAGTTCCATGCTGTACTAGTTGGTCGTTTCTAGAACAGAAAGATCGAGTTGCAGGATGTTGCCAGTTATGACCATAAGTCAGATTTGCGTGTTAATCAGTGAAAGAAAGAACATAAATACTATGGTTGGTGCATACAATTTACACTGAATTTTGGTACATACTGAATGCATTTTGGTACATACTGTATTATACTGATGCTAAGATAAACTTTAAAAATAATTTTAAACTCTGCCATTATTAATGGCATGTTATAATTTTTCTTCTGAAGTGGTACATGAAGCAATGGTGCATTTTTCAACCAATGACAGATTGGTGAAATATGGTTCATGTGACTTTTAATGGAACTGACAGCTGGCTAATTCATATCATTTTGAACCAAATGAAATAAAGTATGTATAAAGGCCTGATAATAATTTCCATCTTGCTCAACTTGTATGGTCACAGGCTAAAGGAGTGCTGAAAACACCTCTTGTTCCCACTGTGTTCTATCTTATCGGTTCTCAAACTTGTACAATTCCACTTGTACAGTGGAATTATGAGAGCTTAAAAAATACTGATGCCTGGGTCCTGCCCCTTGAGTTTGACTTTGTGGTCCTGTGGGCATTCGGAGATCTAGCAGGTGACACGAATGCATTTTCAAGTTTGAAAAGCTCTGCTCCTCTCATTTTAAAAGTATCACTTTGCAACTACTCTGGCCAGACCCCTGGGAATCATACTAGAATGCTCTCTCCATGTGGCTCTGGAGTTTCTCCTTTCTCCCTGTTTAAGCCCCATCCTACCTGCTCCAAATCCTTGCCTCCTATCTCTTGCCTGGCTTCCTTCCGGGGGTTTTATTTTTTCAATCTGTAACCACACTGCTGCCAGAAAGACTTCTCAGTCGTTAACCTAATTAAGCCCTGATTTAGTCTCCTCTGGCTAAAATTAACCTCCTCTGCAGGGTGCACAAGCCTTTTCCTGACTTGGCTGCTGCCCATCTCCCCGGCTCTGTCTGCGGGTCCTCCCAACAGAGCACCCCAGTGCTCCTGGGAAAATGAATGGCTCCCGTTCCCAGAATGCATCACTCTCTTTTGTCCATTTATGTCTCTGTGCTCAGTGTTCCCTCGGCCTCCATCTCTCCTCACTCAAAAGTTCTTTGCCTTTCCAGCACAGGCTTTCCTGCAGCCCTTTCTCCGAGTGTAAAGAGATGTGCCCTCTCATCTCTTAACCATCATGCTTATCATGTTAGTCCTGAGGGA